TTATTTTCGCACGAACCGATAAATATATACCGAGCGAGCGGAAATAACATAAACATAAAGAACATATCGCGGAATCACATCGTAGAACCAAGCACGTGTAAATTGCACTACATAGTAAAAGTACAAGTCACTGTGTCGAATCAAGGTAATGAAGTTCTTTTTGAGAAAGCGATACTGATGGTTGGCTAACGCACATGTCAGATAATTTCGCGATTTCATATGCCTCCATAATCTCCCTTGTCATTTTGCTAGGAGCCTTAGATAGAATTTTAGTTTTTTCGAAGAGGGGTATACATCCACAATCTCGGCAATGGATGCCCAAATGGCCCGAGATTGCTTTCGTGACATTATAATGATGTTCTTTCAATCTCTGATTGATACATCGGCCAGTTTGACCAATATAGGTTCTTCCACAAGAAAGCAGAATAGCATAAACAACATTGCGAATGCAGTTCACAAAAATTGTTCGATGATTAATAAGGCAGGTGTTTGCACTGTTACACTGTGAATTAACGCGTCGACACAACCTATGTAGACGTTCGGGAGCTGAAAAGATCACATCCACTCCTGCCTTTCCCGCGATCCTTCTGAGATTATGCGATACACCATGCAAGTACGGAACGACGGCCACTTTTTTTGCTGTACGACCATTACTGCCTTTAGGTGGGTGTTTTAGCTTCCTGCTCAAACCCTCTGCGACAGAGCTCAGCACACAAATTGGGTAACCAGACTCTGCTAAGCGCTTGGCTTGGTTCAGAAAACTGCTTTCAACTTTGTGATTACAGGACTTCCTAAGAGAGTTATTAAAACAGGATTGTCTTAATGGATTCAAACCAACTAGCCCACCAACGTGTTTTGGCAATGTTTATTTCTAGTACATCGGGCATTCCTTCGTGGTACCTCGTTGAACCTTGCCGCCTAGTCCCGCTCCTTGCAACAGCTGCTTGTAGAGCTCGTATGCTCGGCTTCTGTGTCCGTCACAAAATTTTGCCACCCGAAGTTCTCGCTTTATTTGGGTTCTGCCAGCCCTCAATCAGTCACGGCATTCGGATCTGCAAACTAATGCGCTCGGAATGGCATCGACAAGTGCGAATGTACAGAGATATCTTGAGACTGCGCCTGAAGACTACAGGATCTGAAAACGCTTGGGCTCACTTTTCACGGATCATCAACCGCACGACGGAATTCCTATGGAATCACGTTTTGCCAGGCCTGAGGCAGAGCCTTCGTAAGAAGACCCCTGTGCCGAAAAGCCAGGTGAAAGTCATCGGCAACACCACGCTACCAGACAACATTCGAGAGGTACTGGAACTTGGGCCAAAGTTCGCTGTTGAACCCAAGAAATCTGCTCCCGAACTGTTGGGAATGGTGCGACAAGTTTCCAAGCAAGTGCCTGACGCCGAGTCGGATAGGTGTGTATCGGAAGGTGTGGATGTACTTATGCGTTCCCGTTCCTTAGCAGGGAAGTTTTCCTTGTTCAGAACTGTTAAGTATATGAAGGAGCATTCGCTCACACTTGTTCCCGCGGATAAGGAAGGTGGTTTTGTGGTTTTAGATCGGACTAGGTATAATTCAAAAGCTCATGAATCTATTTCGTCTACTTTTAGGGTTCATAAAGACGTGGCCCTTAAGAAAGTTCAAAACGACGCAAAAAACTTGTGCAAAAGCTTCAAGCTCGATCATTTGTCTCGATCCATTGAAAAAAGCACGAAGAATCATCTTGATGTATTTTTTTCAGCAAAAACGCACAAACCGGGTTTCCCGTTCCGTGTGATAGTGTCGGAAAACGCTAGCTGGCAGAAACATGTAGCAGTATTTTTAAAGAAGTTTCAAAAATTGTAACCACTTTCACGGAAACCCTTTCTCCATTGGTCTTGACGCATGAAATGCCCGAGGGCAATTTCATTAGGTTTTTGGACTTAGGTATCTACTTTTCATCTGAGAAAGTGTGTTGGAGTTATGAGCCAAGGGGCAATAAGCCCGTCCTGCCGTTTTCCTCCGCCCATTCAAAGCTCGTGAAACGCGCCGTTGTACAATCCTGTTTTAATAACTCTCTTAGGAAGTCCTGTAATCACAAAGTTGAAAGCAGTTTTCTGAACCAAGCCAAGCGCTTAGCAGAGTCTGGTTACCCAATTTGTGTGCTGAGCTCTGTCGCAGAGGGTTTGAGCAGGAAGCTAAAACACCCACCTAAAGGCAGTAATGGTCGTACAGCAAAAAAAGTGGCCGTCGTTCCGTACTTGCATGGTGTATCGCATAATCTCAGAAGGATCGCGGGAAAGGCAGGAGTGGATGTGATCTTTTCAGCTCCCGAACGTCTACATAGGTTGTGTCGACGCGTTAATTCACAGTGTAACAGTGCAAACACCTGCCTTATTAATCATCGAACAATTTTTGTGAACTGCATTCGCAATGTTGTTTATGCTATTCTGCTTTCTTGTGGAAGAACCTATATTGGTCAAACTGGCCGATGTATCAATCAGAGATTGAAAGAACATCATTATAATGTCACGAAAGCAATCTCGGGCCATTTGGGCATCCATTGCCGAGATTGTGGATGTATACCCCTCTTCGAAAAAACTAAAATTCTATCTAAGGCTCCTGGCAAAATGACAAGGGAGATTATGGAGGCATATGAAATCGCGAAATTATCTGACATGTGCGTTAGCCAACCATCAGTATCGCTTTCTCAAAAAGAACTTCATTACCTTGATTCGACACAGTGACTTGTACTTTTACTATGTAGTGCAATTTACACGTGCTTGGTTCTACGATGTGATTCCGCGATATGTTCTTTATGTTTATGTTATTTCCGCTCGCTCGGTATATATTTATCGGTTCGTGCGAAAATAAAAGATCAGTTGAAAGTAGCGCTCTGTATGTGTCTGTCTCTTCTACGTCCTTGTCTGTTTTGCGCTTACTCACTCTTAATGGATTCAAACCAACTAGCCCACCAACGTGTTTTGGCTATCCAGAGAAGTACAGCAGTGGAGGTGATACAATTTTTCATCGAGAAAGTTGTCCTACGGCATGGTGCACTAAGCGTCGTAATCACAGACAGAGGAACCGCGTTTGCAGCAGCTCTTTTGGATCAAGTCCTCATGCTGAGGGGAACAACCCATCGTAAGACCACTGCCTACCACCTGCAAGCGAACAGGCTTACAGAGCGTCTGAAAAAAACAATTGAAGACATGCTTTCAGTGTACGTAAATGTCGAACACAAAAATTGGGATGAAATCTTGTCATATATCACGTTAGCATACGATATGGCCAAGCAAGAAACAACCCGGATGACTCCGTTCAGCCTAATTCATGGAAGGGAAGTACGAACCATGTTAGATGCGATGCTAGCGCACGAATTTGACGACATTGACTCGGACATCGAGGTGTTTACAGAATGAACGGAAGAAACAAGGCAACTAGCACGCTTGCGAATCCAGCAGCAGCAAGAGTAAGACGCAAGGGGCAACGATTCTCGCCGCAGAACAGTCGTTTACCAGACCGGCGACAGAATATGACTTTGGACACCCATACAGAAACGGGGACTCTCCGAAAAGCTGCTAAGGAGATACTTAGGGCCATACCTAGTACTGTGACGACTGAGTGATGTTACTTACGAGGTCATTCCCGACAGTTCGTGTAGTACGAGGCATCGCTAGCACCATACTGAACTAGTTCACGTTGTATGCATGAAGCCATATGCCAGGTAGTGACTGTGCAAGACATTTCTTAATAACAAAAAAAAAAAAACTGCACTACTGATGTAGCTTCGGGGCAATGCTCTTTAAGAGGGTGGCAAATGACGCGTCTGTACTGGTGGACAAAAACAGTTTATCGTCCCAAAACACTACACAATTCTCAGCGCAAACCGCGCCTGCAGTTTTCGAGAAGCTTCCAGACTGTAGTTGATCATTGCGATAATATCACGCTTACTCTGATTATTCTGGAACCTACGCCACCGCCAGCGATAACGCTAGAACATTCAACGGCAAGAGTATAAATGCCGACGCGCTTCGCCGCTTGTCAGTAGTTCATCGACGGCCGACGCTCCGTTCACTGCTATCTGTGCAAGACTGCTACTGTAATCGGACTTTCCGTTTGCCGGGCACAGGTTCGCCCAAATAAACTGTTGAATTCCAACACAAAGTATCCTGTCTTCGGCCACGTCACGACCTTGTGACATCTGGTGGAGGTGCTGGGTACTTTGTGTTGGGATTACGACCGTGTGGCCGCCCTCAACCACTGGGACAATGAAGAAAAGCTCCGTCGTGTGTACTTCTACCTGGAAGACACCGCAAGGACCTGGCTCGAGAATCGGGAGTCCACGCTCCGAACGTGGGATGTCTTCTGCGGCGCATTCCTGCAAATGTTCGCGAGCGTCGCTCGCAAAGAGAGGGCTGCTGCTCCACTAGAGACCCGGGTTCAGCTACCAAATGAAAAGGTTGCAATTTTTACACAGGAAATGACCCGCCTATTCCATCACGCTGACCCAGACATGCCTGAGGAGAAGAAAGTTCGTTTGCTCATGCGAGGGGTCAAACAGGAGCTCTTCGTGGGACTAATGAGGAATCCACCGAACACCGTCCAAGAATTTGTATCTGAGGCGACCACCATCGAAAAAACCCTGGACATGCGCACCAGACAGTATGATCGTCGCCTGACTCCAGAATGCCCTGCTGCTCAAGCCAGTGACTCCGAAGACCTGCGTGAAACGATCCGAGCAATCGTGCGGGAAGAGCTGCGCAAGCTGTTGCCTTCGGCGCAGCCTCAAGTTGGAAAATTTCAGGTGCGGATAAGATTCCAAACGCGAGTCGATGAACAGCAAACAATTCTGCGTATTTAACGTGAGGTATTGTTTCGACGACTCTGACAACTATTTGCTGATAGGCAAGTCGTTGTCTATTATTAGTGCAAGTCATCGAATGTGATTTTTGTCAGTAATATTTATTACCTTGTTGTTCCGCTCATACTGATGTTGCTTTGTGCTGAAAAATTTCTTGCAGGGGCTTATCTCACGCTTCTATGAGACGTTTCTTGTGTTCACCCTGGTGGCAGCCCTGCTCTTTGGCATGACCTTCCTGCTGTCAGCCATCTTGGATTATGGCCAAACCAGTATGCAGTCCCTGTTCGGTGCGTTGCCTCATTGTGGTTGTTTGTCTCCTACAGTTGGTCATAATCAAGGGCATAATTAAGTTGGCAAAAGTGAAACGTTGCCTCATTGTGGTTGTTTGCTTCCTGTAGTTAGTCATAATCACAGGCATAATTAAGTTAATAAAGGTGAAACTTTATTGAGCAAACTTTGTGTCTAGAAAAACACTCACTGAAACGACAGCAGACAGCAGTGAGCAATACTTCTTTGCAGACTAGTTGGTTCATACTTGAAAACTCTACTTGCTGTGCAAGCTGAGGGAACCTGTCTTTTCTTCTGATTTTCTTTCAGCTTGCACAGCACGTCGAGACAGCAGTAAACACAGTCATTGGTAATCTGGACAGCAAGTGAAATGCATTGGCATACGTGATTGAACATTGTAACGTTATAGCTTGTGTTCGCAGTTGGGTAGGACAGGAGCTAGTGTAACCCGTGGTAGGCCGATGCAAAGGCTGAGTGATTCACATGTAGACGGCTTCGGACAAGACTGATGAGAGAGTGATATTCCATGTTCATTGAGGGGGAAAGGGGTGTAAAAGAACTTAATGTAGGGCTAGTTGGTACAACATTTCAAAAAATTAATTCCTGGGTGTGCGTGCGTGTGTGTGTGTGTGTGCTTGTGTCGTGTGCTTGCACTTGAATTAATTTATTGGAAAGGGGTGTGATGGAGTGGTGAAACATGGGTAACATGACTGGCATGACCATTCCAGGTTGGCTACAGAAAACGGGCATGGTGAAGGCCAAGCTGCATTGAGTGGCATGTACACCCACTCATTTTGATTTAACCTGAATGCGTGAGCGTCAACCACCCAGTTAGTAAGTGCCATATAATAATTTATTGCGGTGAAATCAATAAATCTGCATGCACGCGCCTGATTAACAGTCCTGTGGAGTTGTCTTCTGCCAGGTTGTTCCGAGAAACGGACAACAGCATGCCGAAAACTGACGCTTATTGACACGGTGGTCGATGCTCCCGTGTTCAGTTTTAAAAAATTGGTGGCTGTACAGGAAACAATACCACACTGGTTTATTTACACGACACTAGGAATCGCACGACACAATGTCTTCTCTTGGGAGAAACTGCATCTTTATGTATTCGTAAATAATATCCTGAATATTTTAAAATACGTAGATTTATGAGAGAGAGAAAGAGTCTTTATTAGAAAAACAGAGACTTTTGTCGGTGTTTATATATTTCTGGCATGCTACTCTGTATAATGTGGGGAAAGAGACTAAAATATTTCAGTAGATAAGGAAGGAAAATATGAAATAAAAGTTCTGAGCAAGTGATTGTGATCAACCTATTTACTATTAGAGTATAGGGTAAGTCAAGGCTTTCATATGTGAGATATTCTATCACTAGAGCCTTCCGATGAGGCGAATTTCGAACAGGTAATTGATTAATGACAGTATGACCCGATGCTGTGATATATGAGCTCCTATTACAACCCTATTCCTCTGCAATGAAATCCCGGTAGAACGAACCCCACATTAACAAGTTCTCAGATTAACGAACTTTTAAAAAATCCCACACCGACTGCTAGTAGTTTCAGTGTAAAATTATTCTACATACTTCAGAATACCGAATTTTTCAGAATAACGAGTGCTAATTTAGTTTTGCATTAGATCAACAACGCCTCGGTGCAGCGAACTCCTGTTGTTAAATTCGTAGCTACCTCCGGAGCGGTACGCAAGCAGACGACACAGCGAACGGATGCCGTGCTTCTCAGAACAGGCGCGATGGTGCGGAGGGGAAAAAAAACGAAAGGCCGACTTTCTTTTCTTTCTCTTTGTTGTTGCCGACCCTGCATGTTTACAAGCACTGAGGCGAGGGGGAGGGCAACACGAAAGGGCAAGGTCGACGAGGCAGAGTGGGAGTTCCGAAGCAGGAAGCTTCGGCGCGGAAAACCTGAGACAGCAAGGGAGCAGACAACGAAACGCGAGGAATTTTTTTTTTTTAGCTCTGTCTATTCTTCGGAAGAGGCGATGACAGCCATATGCTTCGGGTTTTTCTTATCTTTGTCACTTCTACATGTGCTCCAGGAGGCCTTGTCAGTCGTGTTCATCTCCTTTCGGTGATTACTTATCGCATCCACAAAGCAAGTCGGCGTTTGTGCTGCGGTGCTACTACAATTTCAAAATTCTTAAACTCGCTAATGAGTTCATCTCTGCTTGTGACCAAAAAGCAGAAGCATTTTTCGCTAAGCGAGAAAGTGGATCACACCACCGAATGGCATGACAGGAATGTGGATGGGCTGCTACAAGCCTTTGCGCTGCAAAATTTGTGCTGAAGGCGTCAAAAAAAGCAAAAACATATCTTTTTGGTACACGTGCATTTTTTTATTGTTCACTTGTGCATTTGTTTTTTTTTTATGAAAAACGAGTTCAAGGACCCACCGTTTTAAAGGTAAGTTGCTTTGGTCGGTGAAAAATAAGCATTTATGGTTAATTTTTGGGCTTTCATTATGATGACTTTTCAAAATAACGAACGAATTACCACAGCCCCCTGAAGTTTGTTATACCGAGATTTCACTGTATAGGATACTGCATCAGGACTAGACATCGAAAATGCCTCCTAAGTACCGAAGAAATTATTATTTTTTGTTTTTATTTAAGGCATCAGCAGTCACCTGCCGGTTTCTAGGTTCACATGCAAATACATTGTAGAGAAAACTTCATGCAAGGCAGGAGCATATTCCAGTCACTAGTCAGTAATGCTGAAACATTGTTTTATCAGCACTGAACGCATAGAAACAAACAGAGACATTGGCATAAGCAACTACCCCATTATTCTTAACTGCCTCCCAGCATATGCAAGAATATAATACATGGGAAATGATGAAGTGTATATGAAAATATACACTGAAAATAAAATCCGTTGGCGCAGACACAAGAAAGTCATTTCGGCTGTTCACTGAAAACGCACATGCACACAAGGTCCTCTGAGGAAAAACTACAAGTCTGCAAGGCCTTGAAGCCCCAGAAGATGGGGACAAGTTATGTCTGTTACGTAGTCCCTTAGGTAGGCAAGAAATCAGAGGTGCCCTCTGTGGACGACGTGACCTAGGCACTAGAGGAAGACATTGAGCGTTGCTGGCATCGGAGGCTGACTCGTCATCATCTCTACAACATAAGGGCCTGAGAGATTGTGGATTCCTAAAACCCCTTCTCTCTACCCTCACCGAAGGCTTGGTCAGATCAGATGCGCCAAAGAAAGGCTTCAACTCGACAAATCAAAATTAGTGGTGACTTCCTACCTTCATACAGAAACGCATCAGATCAAAAAGCTATGGCCGAGCAGCTGTGTGTGGTGCTTCTCCCTCCCCCTATAATAAGCTATCATCTTTGTGAAAATGTGTCGATGGAAATTCCACTGACTTCGAATCCTGCAAGAACCACGCTCTATTTTATATGCAGTGCAAAAAAAAAAGATTGTTGATGAAATTTTCACGACATGCGGCAGATCATACACCAGTCAGTAAGGATGCTGTATCATTGATCGCCTGCGACAGCACGCCAACAAAGTCAAAAACAAGCATGGCAGCAATATAGCTATCCATTGTGCAGACTGTGGGTGCTCTTTAATGTTGAAAAAAAGCAAAGGTGTTGTGCAGATATATGAACAGTGTGGCACGGGAAATTTTTGAAACACGCACGATGATGCGCAAAGGCTCCAAGTTTATCAGTGCTCGTTCGCTCATCTTAACTGACAAGGAATTCTGGTTTCTCGGACAATAAACAGAAGCATGTCAATCTAATGTCGTCATCACACCCATGCGCATATGTTCCTCATCCAGGCTTTGTGCAGGCCTTTGAAATCCTTGAAAACTCTTGAACTTAAAGAATTTTCAAGGCCCTTGAAAGTCATGGAATTTTTCGCGATTTTCGAAAATCTTTGAATTTCGTGAGCAGTCACTCTTATATCGACATTGCGGCCTTCTAGTTGTGGTAGATCGGTGCGCCAACCTGCCAAACTTCCGATTTCTGAAGCAGTAGTGCACTGTGGGTTCAGATGGTCCCATTTTGCAAAAATGCATGTGGAAAGAAAAATGTTAGCTTCGTGGCGAGGGGGAAGCAGTGAATGTGATAGCAAAATATTAGAATGCCACATGAAGGGGGCAATCAACTCCATACATGCAACATGCTGTTCAAGCACAAAGGATGCATGAAAAGAAAGCACACAGGAGGAGTGCTCATGAACAACTGTCACAGATCCACACTAGAAGTGTGCTGCTTAAACACCGAGAAGGATGCTAGAAAAGAATATTCATGTAACCACAGAGTGAGTGCAAATTAACCACTGTGGCTGTTGTTACTTCTTGGTGTTTCAGCAGCTTGCTACAAGTGTCAACTGCACAAGCAACTGCTCTTAATGGGGTGGTGCCATCCGATTTCAAGGCTATAGCAAGCATTGTGTGTGTTTCTTCTGTGTGCAAGGACACTCCACACGAATGGTTGGACCTAGAGAATATTTAGAGTATATTTCAAGTCGCTTCTCAAGCGTACCTAAATGCTCATTCTCCTAGTCGAGACTCATCGCAAGCGCGTCCAACACTGATGTAGCTCTATGGGAAGTGCAACGAAAGTTGGAGTGGTGTCACACCAGATCTGTAGTGAGGTGAGTGACCTCCGAACTTCCGCCCCGTACATACTTGCAAAGCATCGCGGCTGCTGCAGCTAGCGGTGCCTTTGTTTCACAGGTGCTTGTGTGGCACATCTGTGCGAGAGCAGATGATACTCAGCATGATGCGTGTGATCACGTAACTAAGCCAGCTCCACTGCTACTTACCTGCCCAACTCACTGCCCACAAACAGGAATTAAAAATTGTTCATATTACCAAGGCGAGAATAAATAAACCTTGGTGCGTGTATTTTTCTTGTCGGAGATATATTTAAAGCTTGCAGCAAAGAGCGCGCAAGCCAGAAATATTGTGGCATCGTTCCTTTATGGCCTGACTACACATACGCATTGAAGCCCGTC